GGGAGCCGGGGGGAGCTCTGCAACTTACCTGGCTGCTTCTTGCTCTGACTGAGGGCTGCTGGGAGCAGGGGGTGGGGCTTGTTGCATGTGCCCGCCCCCTGGGCTCTTTACTGCCGGAGCTCCACTCCTGTGCGCTCCGGCAGGAAATGACCCCTGCCGTTATCACTGAAGACTGGTCCTTCTTTGTTGTTGCCCCTTATGTATTGAATGTCCTTCACGCCATCTGTAGCCTGGTGCTGATGACTTTCCAGTGCCAGGTTGAAATGTTTCCTTGTTATGCAGGACTTGTGATGATTTGGGCTAGGGTTTGCTTTTGGGTTTTTTTTTGCCGTATATTCTTTTCATTGCTTGTTTGTGTGAAATTTATCAAGGAACTGCTGATGTTTAATAAGCCTAAAGCTGTGATTCCCGCCCCCCCAGACCCCAGTTATGTTGCTGTATGATTGACTTCATTGATTCTTACCTCTTTACATTTGCTTCCTCCCCCACGGAAAAATGTTGGAAGGCAGTGTATAACCACTGCATTGTATTTTATTGATTCTTACCGTTTTAAATTTCTTTCCTCCCCCACGGAAAAATGTTGGAAGGCAGTGTATAACTACTGCATTGTATTTTATTGATTCTTAGGTCTTTGCAATTCTTCTCCCCCACAGGCTATTTCTGAGAGCATAGGGTTGCCAGCTCCAGCACTGGAAAGTCCTAGATATTTGGGGAAGGAGCCTGGAGAGGGTGGGGTTTTGTGGACTGGAGGTTGCTCAGCGGGGATGTGAAACCATACAGTCCTCCCTCCAAGGACTCTTGGTTGATGTCACACACATCCAGAGACTTGGGAAATTTCATACCAGATTATTATGTCATCAAAGATTTTGTTGTGCATGTGCAGTCACCGTGAGTAGTTATCCATGGCCTATTCCATAAATTTTCAGCAACCACACAGCATATGAGCAGGGCTATTTTTGGGCAGGAACGCACAGGAACGGAGTTCCGGCTGGCTCCCAAGTTGGCCACGCCCAGCAGGTACACATTAGCATAATAGGCCACACCCAACAGCAGAAACTCATTAGGATTGGCTACAATTAGGGGTGTGTGGCCTAACATGCAAAAAGCCCTGGGTTTTGACAACAAACAAGGTAAAGAGAATAAGAAGCAAAAGGTGGGTGTGGCTGGATGACCACACTTCTGGTAACATGGGGGTGCGGCCTAATATGCCAATGAGCTGTGCTGTCAGGGGTGTGGCCTAATATGCTAATGAGTTCCAGCGGTTGGGTATGGCCTATTATGCTAATGAGTTCCTGCTGGGCTTTTTCTACAAAAAAAGCCCTGCATATGAGAAAGCAACACCTGACTTCAGTTTATATATATTTGCTTCTGGATGTTTGTGTGTTTTATCATAGTACTATTGACCACTGAGAAGGCCCTAGAGGACGCTATGGTCCTGTTGGTCATTTGACATATGCATCAACTACATATGTGAAATCATCAACTCTGTAAAATGATTAAAGCTTATTTCAAGCTCATGGTGATGTTCTGTGAAGTCTGACCTTCAGACCACTTGTTTTTAATTTTTTAATATTGGCTATTGTGTTTGGTAGGGTTGCCAGATCCTACCTTTCTGCCAGCCAGGACTATTTTTGGGCAGGAACGCACAGGAACGGAGTTCCGGCTGGCTCCCAAGTTGGCCACGCCCAGCAGGAACTGATTAGCATAATAGGCCACACCCAACAGCAGGCACTCATTAGGATTGGCTACATTAGGGGTGTGTGGCCTAACATGCAAAGGAGTTCCTGCTACAAAAAAAGCCCTGGGTGTTGACAACAAACAAGGTAAAGAGAATAAGAAGCAAAAGGTGGGTGTGGCTGGATGACCACACTTCTGGTAAAGTGGGGGTGAGGCCTAATGTGCTAATGAGCTGTGTTGGCAGGGGTGTGGCCTAATATGCTAATGCGTTTCTGGTGTTGGGTGTGGCCTATTATGCTAATGAGTTCATGCTGGGCTTTTTCTACAGAAAGAGCGCTGCTGCCAGCAGAGGGGATTGATGGGCCTTTCCTGGAGCTTCTGCTGTGCCCACGCAATGACATCACCCGGGAGTGACATCATCACACCATCAACGCTCTAGTTTTTGGGCAAAACTCTATGGTTTGAGCCCGATGTCACCATAAACTATTGCCCAAAAGCTAGAGTGTCACTGCAGTGCTGGCGGTGTGATGACATCACTTCTGGGTGACATCAATGCACCGTATTTCGGGGCACTTGTGAGTAGGGTTTCCCCCGCCAGCCAGCTGGCCGTTGGTGGGGAGCAGTCCACAAAAGCGGGGGAAC